GAGAGCAATGTGAAAACCGGAGTCAAATTCCATGTATGCGCACGCATACATGGCCAATAAAGCTGATTCTGATTCTGATTTGATTAGTTTACCCTTTAATCTGCAAACTGTGTCATATTTCAACCATATTTAAGTGTTTTACTTTTACTGCTTTTTGTGAACGTCTCCAATACTGGTGTATGAGCCTTGAGGCACAATTGAAAATATGCTATTCCTGGTATTGTCCACTAGATGTCGACATCTACCATCTAATTAACCCTCCCCTTCCTTCCCCCACCAACACAGAGCTGCTGTCCTGCGGTCCTGGGGGATGCTGAACATTTGCATCTGTATGAGAGGCAACGACAGCTATCCAGTGAGTGAAAAAAGTCAGCTTCTACACAAACAAACAAAGTAATTCAAGACTTGACTTCAATTATAGCTGTTTTATACAAGACCATACAAACAGAGACAGTTCAAGTTAAAGAACATTTAGCTTGTAACTGTTGTGGCAGAAACACTAGCATTAAGTTGTGGCTGAAATGAAGAGAAGAGACGTAGTTCTTGGAGTAGCAACCAGCGGGAAGTGTTTTAATGAGCATAAGGCAGCATACAACAAATCCAAAGTATTAGTTCTTACGTTCTTACTCTTATAGTCTAGCTTCAGCCCCCTTATGTGACTTTCCACCAATCAAACCAGTCGGTTGAACCACAAACAAAGCACAGGTCAGGATAACCTTTTGGCAGAACACATGATACATGTACGGGAAGTGTTTGGAATCAAATTGGAGTGATATATTCCAATTTGTCTGGCACGCCTTTATCACTTTCTAGGAATGTTTTTATGAAACCAAATGTGTTCAACATAGCAAATTGTATAAACCGTTTTCTTATGAACCCAAATGTTGTGTGTTCAGATTATCCTCACAGCAAAACCTAGATTAGACCACACAGGTTTTAATAGCACTACGAAAAATGAACGGTGACAAGGGAATGGGCTTCCATATGATGCAGAAATACAAAGATTGCGTGATAGTGGGTACATCCTAAGTCTCTTACCATTTCCCTCACTTGCGTCCTTTCCTTGCGTTTTAGGGTACATCCCAAGGGTTCATCCCAAGTCTCTTAATTGCAGTGGCGGGCTGTGCATTTTATACCTGGGCCTTCACTGCTGTCCTGCAGCTGAAACACAGCTACGGTTATTATTTGTTTCATGTAAAAATGAAGCCAACACCTATCTGCAGAGAATACGCCAGGAGTGCGTCTCCTCTCTGCTCTGACTGCAGCTGGGACTGCTGCGCGAGTTACCTCCTGTGAGTGCTTTGGGGCGGTGGAGGGGCAGCACCCACTGCTCGTTCACGACAGTAACTGTAGAAGGGTAGTTCTTTAACGTCACAAAAGTCTCCAATAACACCAGAACAAGTCGCTAGATTTGTCACTAGTAGCTTTTGACAAAGAAAGTCTCCATGAGGGTTTAGAAAGTCGCCAGATTTAGCGAGAGAGTCGCCAAGTTGCCAAGACTGGCACCGGCTAAATACTATGTCCCTAGAGCAACACTGGACTTAACAATGGTTCCTATCACATATTAAACCAAACAAAAATCCAATCTTCATAAAAACAAGTTGTACAAATAATAATATATAAACAAGCATCTTAAAGCTATTGCAGATGTAAAAACAAACGCATTTAACTTACCAGAGCTGCTGTTCACTATTTAGCTGCTGTTCCTCCTTTCTTTGTTAACAAAGAGTTTAATCTGACGGTTGTTCAGTACATCCGTGCATTTTAGTTCCAGTAAGAAGTCCTTCTCGATTCATGGACGCCAGTGAAGACAGTCGAGCCTCCCCAGTTGTATTTCTTGAATACGTTTTAATGCGTTTGAGGGCTGAAAATGTCCGCTTGACAGAGGCAGCAGATATTGGGATTGTCACCGCCCAACACGTCAGGCTAGCCCACTGACCAATCACGTACCTGTAGGCCAGCTAGAAGGCTCTGACACGTCAAAGAATACGCCCAACATCTCAAACTAAAGATCTGATTGGTTGAACACTATGACAATCAACAATATCGTCCCCATTTACTTTAATCTGCACTGGCTGCAGGTGAGACTCTGCAGGCCTCGGGCCTCTCTTCTTACCTAGAGACACAGAGGTGAAATCTGATTGGATAAAAGCTCTACTTAAAACAAGCTGCATTGGAAGCAGAGCAACTGAGGAAGACAGTAGCTGTGCAATGAGAAAATAAGATAATGGGGAAAATATTTTTATAAATTATAATACATGTAGTGTATTTAAGAAAAATTATTAAATTATAAAATAGCTATAACTTTGTGATTTTGTTTAGGCCAACAGAGAAGGCCTTGCAGGCCATGACGGCCCACCACTGCTTAATTGTCATTTCCTCGCTCCTCGCTTGAACCGGAAGTTGTTCTGCACCGCCATATTGACGGCCGTTCCAAAGCTCTTATTTAGCTCGGAGGAGAGATCTCTGAGGAGCCATGAGAGAGGACGCACGAGAACAGCCTTCCAGGAAGTGTTTTAACGGCCGACACGCCCCCTCATTGTTCATCAGTCATGTGATTGGACGCTGCAGCCGATTGGACTGATGAGATTTTTTTCAACATGTAAACACTGGGTACATCCCAAGTCTCTTAATTGCATCCCTGTTTCCCTCACTTGGGTCCTTTCCTTGCATCTTAGTCCCTCCCACCAGGGATGCATGGAGGAAACCATGCGAGGAGAGAGGAACGAGGAAATATGTTTTAACAGACATGAGACGTCATGAAATATGATGTTTTCGGTGGACTGCGCTCATGTAGGAGACAACGGGCTGTGACCTCTGAACCCGGAACAATAACAAAAAACAGCTGAGGCCCCTCGTGTGTTCAGGGAGGCTAAACTAGCTTAGTGCGGAAACAACAGCCCGAACGGATTAATTAAATTGTCCGGACAATAACCCCGCGCATGACGGGATGCTTTGTAATTAACGGACAATGCATATAGTCCAAATCAATGTAATTAACACAATGACAAGAACAAACTCACAAGAACCAGTCACATATATGTATATGACAACAAAGCAAATCAATCCAGCAACATGCAGCGCTAGAGCACGAGCCATTCATATTATTCTTAAAAACGACACGATAGACAAATGAACACAGTAGTAACGCTACTGCAGATGTAAAAAAACAAAAGCACTTCACTTACCAAAGCTGCTGTTCACTTAAAGACAAAGTCCATCCTCCTTTCTTTGTTAACAAAGTCAGTAACGCCTAAATCCGTTTCTCCTCCTTCAGCCATTGAGTGTTAAAAAAACAAAGCTAGGTAAAAAAAAAGAATCTACACTAAGCAAAATGCTAAAAATGTCATAATGTCTCTTACATATGTTTCAACCTGAACTCTTACTAAACACTAAGATCTGCTAGCTAGCTTTCTGTTTGACAAAAGTCAAGCTGGCCCACTGACCAATCACAGCGCACGTTAATGCTGACGTACTTAGAAGGCTACCTCGCTACCACTGGCACGCAAGAATACGCCCAACATGTCAAACTAAAGGTCTGATTGGTTGAAGACTATGACAATCAACAATATCGTCCCCATTCACTTAAACTGAGAAGTATAGATAAACAAAAGTGAGACAAGCTAACAAATGCCACAGAGAAGTGGAGACAAACTGCAGCCGATTAGTATTGTGGAAGATGTCGGTCTGAGGAACGTTCTCAAGGTGCGTTCGCGTCGCGTTTGGTGTGAACGCACCTTTACGATCGCAACGAATGACGGCATGTATGAGCCTCAAGACCCTTTGTCTTGATACCTGCAATATGAGTGAGAATAAAGCTATTTACGTCTGACATCTGACTTTATTATCGAGACCACAAAGCTAGTCACAGAGCTGTAATATGTGCTGTGGGACATAAGGACATAATATAAGTATTTTAGTGTAGTTCTGAATGCTATTTTTCTCATCAGACATAGTTTTTTTTATTGCAGCTTGTCTGCAGCTATCTGAACCCCTTAGTTTCATTTAGGAATGTGAGCAGCGATCAATAGTTTAAACTTAAAAAGACTAAAATACTAACCCAACTGTCTGAGCTGAACAATCAAGCCGTCAAGGTCAACATAACCGCATAGACACAACATTATATTTACGTTCAGGGCAGCTGGGTGATCTAATTCAGGGGTCTTCAATGTTTTTCAGGCCAAGGACCCCCAAACTGATAGAGAGATGGAGCAGGGACCCCCGACTACATATATTGTATAAAATTGTTTTGTATTAAATGGGCCTAGTACCATGTACGTATAAACATACATCTTTATTGTGCATTCAATACTAAGCTATTCAAATAATACACTGGTTCATATATTCATGTTTTTATTTTAAACATGTGCAAGGTACAGTGAGTAGGGAGGCCGTAATACTGCCATTTATAAACATACCTTGTCAGCTGATACCAATGCCAATATCAACATTGTCTGTCAATTGCATGATAATCATGCATACAAGCTATTCCAATTGATGTTTTCATTTTAAACATAAATGTGGAAACAAAAAAATGAGTGATGGCCTATTAGTGCCACTGCCATGCAGATGCCATACCTGTTATCTTGCATACAATACTGAACTATTAAAATAATGGACAGATTCATGTGAAATTGTCTAATCAACCAAAAATTTCGCGGACCCCCTGTTGAAGACCTCTGCCCTAAGACACAAGGAAAGGACGCAAGTGAGGGAAACGGGGATGCAATTAAGAGACTTGGGATGTACCCAGGGTCAGAGAGGCTCGACAGGCAAGTCATCAATATGGCACTTATTTCCTTTTTAATTAAACAACACAGGGCTGCCGGGAAATAAGGAGAGTGAACTGATGTGACGTTACACACTCCTGTGCAGTAGGTGGCGGCATGCACCTATGATCTATTAAAAAGAGAGAGAGAGAGCGAGAGAGAGATGTGATGGCCCAATCCTTTGCTGACGTGTAGTGAACTCCTCCCCGGTGTTATTGGTCACTCCTCTAGATAAAAAAAACAGCTTGGTCCTATTAGTCAGAAGCCATTGTACTACCAGGGATCGTACTGAAGTCTATCGAAGCAAAGCCTGTAATAACGTGTTAATCAGGCTGTTTAAGTCAATCTGAAGAGCATTATTACAGATTTAACACCAAAATAAAGCCTATTATCGAGGAACTAAAGAAAAACAGGACGTTCACACCGGGCAAACGACGACTGTGTTTTTGCACCCGGACCGTTACGCTCGGCGGAGGGATTCGGAAGGGCAACAGCCGCCGCGTAGTTGCTGATTTCCTCTAGATATCTTCTCTTTACAGTCAGTGCTTAGCTTTCTCTTAGGTCTGTGCTCTTATTTAGATGGCAAGCTTCCCAGACACTATAAACGAAAATGATATAGGTAAGTAAAAATCCCAACGTTAGATTTATAATTTATCAACAGTCAGTTGTAACCTAAAAAATAATATCTCATCAAACTACAAATTGTTAGTATAACGTACCAGCTAGCTTAAATGGTCTTTCACTACAATGCATCATTGTGGGTGGCAGTTTGTTTGCTTATTGTAACAGCTCAGTATCTAACGTGTGGTGTTTAACGTAGCTACACCGAGTCTCGGTGCTTGGCAATACAGCGTCACAGTGTCGCTAGCTCACTTCATGTCTTTAACTTCGAACCTTGTGCACCGTTTTAGTTAACAAGTAGTGTATTGTTTGTTTGGTAAACAATACAACGTTACAGCAGCCTGTTGTATTTTTGCCCTTCAATCGTTTTTCGGCACGTTAACTGTTGAAAACGTATTTCTACCCCGCTGGGTCGCTCGTTGAGCCTTGGCTCAGACCCTCCCCTCCCCCACGCGCTTGGGAGTGATTCATAATCTTGCTTCACACACAGACGAAGGAGACGTGCGTGCTCGCACGCTCAACGCTATGTGTACGATTTGGATGTATATGAATTATATAGCTTGTGTCTCTGTAATCTTCACCCTTCAAAAGAAACTGCATGTTTCAAGGGTTTCAGTTCAACATTTGAGCTTATTGTTCTGTTTTTCCTTATTGTCAGAATCTATAACTGTCTCCTAACGCCTTACTGCATTCTCTTTTTAAAGAATTGCTTCTACTTTATTTACATTTTGTCATGAATAGTTGTTAAGTATCTCTGATATCTACAGGACCATATTCCTGTGTTAGAGGTTAAAACTAATCTCTGATGTCTGTGCTGCTTGTGTGTTCAAAACGGTTGTTATGAAAGTGTCTTTCAATCTGTTAGTTGTGTTGCTATCTGCGATCTATAAATCTTTACAATTCACAGGGGAAATGTTATTCAACAGTTACATTTGAGATCTGACTGTCCTCTACTAATGCATATAGGCAAGTGAAGGTCAAGACGATATATGCGGTTTGTTCATAAAACCTACATGCATTTCAGGTCTTGCTTTAATTTGTTCAATCGCAGAGAAGTGAACCTATTTATCTCTTAAAGTTGCCCTCCTGCTGTTTTTGACCCACTGGTTGGGTTAGCCCAGTAAGCCAATTGGATCCCTGCATCAGTGACGGGCCCTCTCGTGTTTGTGAGTGAAGAGGTTACTTTGGGATGATTGGCCTGAACAGGCAGATGGGCGGTGGCATGTCAGTAAGCGATCATATCGATTGGTATGGCTAAAGTGACAGTGTTGCTGTTGCTGTTGTTTTTTCAGGTAAGGCAAAGTTCATCGGTGAACTCCTGGTGCCTGTTGCTCCCTTCGACCAGAAGTCTGGGCGCGAGGCCTGGACGGTAGCGTTTGCACCCAATGGTTCCTACTTCGCATGGTCTCAGGGGCATCGCATTGTCAGGCTCATTCCCTGGACAAAATGTCTGAAGAACTTGTAAGTATCATTTGAAATCTCCTACCAGTAATTTAATGTAGCAACCATGATTAACAAAACATTCACATTTGGAGTATTGATTTTATGTTAAATGGACCTCGTGTCCAGCTGTTTAGGAAACGACGAAGCCGAACTACAATCTCTCTTAATGTCAACAAGACAAACTTAACAGGTCAGCTGATGATATGTTTGTTTTGTGGACTGATGTACCAGTGAGTGTGTGCCGACAGGCTGCATCACAGTGTGGTTCAGCAGCTTGACTGCAAAGAGTAAGACAGCAGCTAAAACACACCTCCAGGTCATTTACAACACTCACTGCAAAAGACAGAGGACCCCGGTCAGACTGTTCTCAAACTAGATCTCAAAATAGATGTACATAGATAGTGTTGGTGTGACTCTGTGTTAATGGAACAAGCTATTGGTGTACTAGCCCTCAGGTTCCCTCCCCGCCCTCCACACATGAGGCAGAACATACATAGAGCTGCTCCTCACTACCAAGGACATGTGGCTTCTATTATCAGCTCCCTTTCTGCTGAACAGGCTCTTCTTCCACTCGTTAGAGCCTTGTGACTCTGAGCCACACTTTGAAATTGTTTGTAGAACAAGTGCTTCTTGTCCCAAACAGCAGGCTGTGGCTGATCGGCTGCCTTTTCAAAAGTATTATTCAACAGCCTAACACGACGGAGAGGACAGGCAGGAAAGGAGTCCGACGTGTCGGGTTGGGAGGGTTTGTGGAAAAGTTTTAGTTGTTATTGCTCCGCCTCACAGCTGACACACTTAACCCTCATGTTAGTCCTGCTTTCTCTTTGCAAACCAGTAGGGTTTCCATTATTGTGACAAATTATAGGAAATGCAATGTGTTGATCACAGTTAGCTGAGCTTCATTATCAATGATATTCTTCAACAGAAGCAGGTCTAATCAACCAAATATGGGCGTATTTGGTAAGTGGATCAGTTGGAAGTTTTCAGGTGGAACAGTACAAACTGAAACGGCCACAGTGAGGTGGTTTAGGACTAACACCCCCCCCAACATGTCATAGAGATGAACAACTTCATCTTACTGTGCGAGCGTGTCTCAGCTGCTCACCCGGGCTGCCTCTGATTGACCTCTCCTTGTATCTTCTCTGCTGCTGTAGTTCAATCGGCCATGGTGGAGAGGCCACCAATGCCTTGAGCCCTCGCCGTTTGTCCCGTCAGAACAGCAGCGAAGGCCAGGTGATGCCGCAAGCCGACGAGCCCCGCGAACACACCATCGACTGCGGTGACATCGTCTGGGGCCTGGCCTTCGGCTCCTCGGTGCCAGAGAAGCAGAGCCGCTGTGTTAACATCGAGTGGCACCGCTTCCAGTTCGGTCAGGACCAGCTGCTGCTGGCAACGGGCCTCAACAATGGTCGCATCAAGATCTGGGATGTTTACACTGGTTAGGACACTTTTTTTTTTTTTTTCTTCCCCTCTTCATTAATTATATAAAAGGTAAATCGTTTTTCGGCTCACAGCAAAAACCACCAAAAGCAGAGGAATTTGAGGCACTAAGTCTAATCACCACTGTCTGAAGTCCACGCGGCTAAAAGCTGGGGCAGTCTTGTTTGAACAGTCTTAAAGTAGTAAACACTGTCTGGGTCTGAAGTTTAAAAAGGAAACAATTAAAAGAAACCGCACTGCTACTAGCACAGTGCCATCATTGGCACACAGGGTTTTAAATAGTAAACCGACTCGATCTTCCCATTGGTTAGTTACAGCCTGTCTACACAAAGACTGTTTCTATTTCAGATTTGAGCTTACGTTTGTACTGTTTAAACAGAAAACAGAAACCATTTTATACTTTGAGATTTACTGGAAATGACAAACAATATAGTCAACAGCAAGTAGGAAACGGTCCGGTGATCTATCTCCCTCCAGCCAGCTGGCACTTTTTTTTTTAGGTTTTTGTAGTTATCTATAAAATACCTCCTCATTTCAGCATCACAACCAGCCGGTCCTCGTCCATTGGGAGCTTTCAAAGAGAGCAACAAGAATAAATACAAAACATGGCGTCAAGCACAAAGTTCAGCAGTGCTGCGTCAGTTACGACACAGTGAAAAGTAGATATTCAAATAGTTTGAACCTTTGTGTTTTTTAAGGACATTCAAATGTAATTTTTGGTAAACTTTGACAGCCCTGTCTGCATTGGAACTAGAGTTGCTGCTGTGCCTGTAAACATCGGACTAGAGACTTTTTCATTGTTAAGTTACTAGCTCAAACTTGACTGAGGACTAGTTGCACTTCACTATGGATTATTTATTGATTGTCTGTATGATTTGATGGCTTGCTGCAGGAAAACTGTTGCTGAATCTCATGGACCACACTGACATAGTGCGAGACTTGACCTTTGCTCCTGATGGCAGTCTGATGCTGGTCTCTGCATCCAGAGATAAGACCCTCCGTGTGTGGGACCTCAAAGATGATGGTATGTAAATGAGCTGTTTTCATTGTACTGTCTTTTCCATTTTTTCTTTTTTCTTTCAAATCAGAGGCCAATCAGAACCCGGTGACCTTTTGTTTCCTCGACTCAGAGCAGGCAAAGTAGGGTAACGGCCTTAGCCTGTAAATGTGAAGAATAGGCCTCTTAAAACATGAAGCTATAGGTGGTGGTTTGGGTCTTTTTGTGGAAAACGTTGGCAAAAAGAAAAATACACACAATTAGCCCGGCCATATCCTTTGTAGTACAGACCACAAGAAGGGTATGGGGCTCAAAGAGTTTTTTAATAACTAAATGATTGAAGTACATACCACATGGCCACTGCCGCACTGGTTCGATTCCGGCCTGGGACCTTTGTGGAGTACCCTACCTCCCTTCTCTCTCCCTGTGTTTCCCGCCTCTACTCTATACTGTCTTAAGAAAATGTTAACATGACTCATTATGTGTGGTATGTGACCGCAGTGATTCGTTGAAGATAAAGGATATGCTGAGATGAAGTTGTGTTGTCTTGTAGGTAACATGGTGAAGGTCCTGCGGGGGCATCAGAACTGGGTTTACTGCAGCGCCTTCTCCCCCGACTCCTCCACCCTGTGCTCAGTCGGTGCTGGCAAAGCAGTACGTACACAAGTTTACTTACTGTGATGGGATTGTTAGATCATCTTTGCTCAATTGCTTGCGACAGTTATGCTCAATCATCTTACAAATGGAAACGCTTCCCATCTGCCCTTCCACTCCCACCTTAGATCAAACTGCTCGATGTCATGATACGTTGTTCCACCTGCATCTAGATTCTGTTTGCTTTTGTTTGCAGTGGGGAAAAAAAACAGGCTTTTGTTGTTCTGAAGTTTGCATGCAGAGCAGACAACAGTTTTCACTATTGTTGTAAACTAGTTTCATCATTTCATTTGGTTATGTATGTATGATGAAGGGGAAATCCAACTAAAACTACATTACAGCAGGGCAATCTTATTTCATGTAACTCTCTGATGCAGTTTTGAAACCAATTCTGACCTCCATGTAAACCTTTCATATTATCGAAGTCGGATAAGAAAAACATGTCCTTCTTCTATTGCATGTTGAATTGACCATCTGCAGCCCTTATGGCAGACATGTTTGTGGATATTGATTCCATTGACTGGCCACCATTTGTTCACCTTATCTACAATGTAGCAGCTGTAGATCCATCTGAACATGGTTGTGATGTAGACATGGTGGTAGCTCTGTTAGGCTGTGTGTGTCCCTACAGTGTGTGTCTTGCTCTCCCTGTCACAGGTGGTGGCAGAGCTCAGTGTGTGATTGGTTTTGAAGGGAGCGCCGCGCTGACATTTTGAGCAGCCGGTGTAAATCGGGGACGCAAAGTGCACAATGCCCAAAGGCCTGGCCAGGGGCAGCCTGGCACCAGTCTGTACGTAGGTGCTGCTTCGTGTCTGTCTACCTCTGCTGTTGCAGCTCCTCTATTTATTTCAGATTCAAACTGTCATGAAAGGTGTAATGTGTAAGATCGCTACCTGTGTAACTGCAGCAACTTAGAGATTGCTGATCCAAAACCATCTCAAAGACGCGTTTCAGTACAGCCCGGTTAGTGGTGCATTGAACACTCACATGGCGAGCATGAACTCTAAACACGGGAAGATTCTAACATAGTGTTGTATTGACCAGCAGTTAGTTAGTAGTTTATTTCATTAAATTGAGATTGTCTGGACCCGTATACCTGAATTTCTTTGGAACATGTGGCCAGATGTTACACATTGCACCTTTTTTAAAGTGGTTATTAAATACTCCATCTACCCCCCCCCCCCCCCTCTTTAAGTAGCTGTCCACTGCCTTCACAAGCTAGCTTCTCTTTTGTTACTGTCAGTATGAATGTTTACAGTGTAGCATTGTAATGGTGCTAATGGCAAGTTGTAGAAAACAATTCAGCCAGCCACATTAGTTTAACCCCACCCCCTCTAGTTTAGGTTTATTATTTGCTGTGCTATGCAGAGCTCTTGTAATCTAAAAATGTCAGCTGTTGCCTTAAAACAGTCGACACATTGAACAGTTATGTGCCATGTTTCCATCTGCAGTTCTGTGGATTTTTCTGCTTTTCTAAAAAGCACTTATGTGTTTCTGCTGTCGGCAGCAACGGTGGAACAGCAAGAAATGATAGTGTTTCATCACATTTCTGCATCAGCACACTTGTGATGGAAAACACAGCTTAGAAAAGATGCTTATATTTTTCACTCAAATGTTTGTTAAATCTATAACATGGAAACTAGTCCATACAGAGAGGAGGAAACGGCTCAAGCATGTTCGTTTATTTAGTAAATCATGAACTGCATTTGTTTACAAGCAGCTTTTGTATAACTTTAGAGCATTTTAAATTTTTAACTATCAAAGAGTGACAAGTTGTAAAACTGGAGAAAAGACAATAATACTTAAAATTCGGACCATGGCTGATTGTTAGGCAAAAATGTTCCATAGATGATTACTTTTCTACATATATGTGTGTGTGTGTGCAAGCGTGCGCAAGAGCATACTTGTATTTTGCCAGAGGTATAAACCCTTTGGCCATAAAATATTCTTTTCTCTTGCAGTATCTGTCTCTCTTCGTAGGCTTCTGCCGGAGGTGCGAGCCTATTGTAAACACAGAGAACTAAAATTCTGAAAAGGGAAACCACTGGAGTAACTTTATGTTACCTTAAGTTACTACTTGTTCTATTTTCTCTTTTTTTGTGTAGAACTCTGTTGTTGAAGTATTTATTTCTAATATTAAATAATATATAAAAAGATGTATACATTTGATGTTGTAGTTTAATCCTATTCCATTAAGATGCTAATGTAGATGTAGTGTTGCATTCTGACACAGCCTTGCTGCTTGTGTAGCATGTGCCTTTCTGTTTGATCGGTCTGGTTAAAGGTTACAGATCATAACAATGACACAGAGTTCAACTATTTAATTCTGTTTTAATTCCTGTTGCTTAATTGAATTTGTACATGCTTTCTGTGCATATAGTAATAAGTGTATCATAGCACATCTATTCTCTGTCCAAGTCATTCCATGGGCTATAACCGTCCTCTCCTCACGTTGCAGGTGTTCCTATGGAACATGGATAAGTTAACCTTGATCCGGAAGCTGGAGGGGCACCACAATGATGTGGTGTCTTGTGAGTTCTCACCAGATGGGGCGCTGTTGGCCACAGCCTCTTATGACACCCGGGTCATCGTGTGGGACCACCACAAGGCCACCGTCCTGCTGGAGCTGGGGTAAGAACATAGCACACAATATAGAGGATTATTCATATTCATAAGACTTTAATAAGGCCAAATATTTCTAGTTGCCATTAATTACGGTAAACGTATTGTATTTCAGGAAAATAGTTTAGTTTTTTTTTTTAACTTGAAGTCCACGTACTAGCTTTGTCTGGAGCTTTCATACCTCAGGGTTTTCCTCAGTGGAAGTAGTTTACTTAACAGTGGTCACAAGTGCCTAAACAGCATTTCTTCAGTTAAAGTTCTATCTAACAGCCTCACCATTTGAAACGGTGACTGGTCATTCTGAACCTGAGGTGCTGTGATACTCTGCTTATGAAGCTCATGCGTTCATCTTTCTCCAGCCACCTCTTCCCTCCTCCATCACCCATCTTTGCTGGAGGGGCAAATGACCGCTGGGTTCGCTCTGTGAGCTTCTGCCCTGATGGCCGCCACATTGCCAGCATTACGGATGACAGGTACGACACTAATGACAGCAAACTACTATTACTTCACTGGTTATATCATTTCTCAACTTAACACAACCCAGCAGTTTAGTGCTGTGCTGGGTTTTCATTGCTCTTAAAGGAAACTACAGGGCTTGATTTTAACACTTGGCCGGGCCAAGTAAACTCTGTGTTTGGGCAAGTGCAAAATACATGTTCTCTTTATTAGGGGCCGATATCCATTAAAAACATACGATGGAGAGATCTCCATTAATGCTTTCTAGTGGACGGTCCCTGGCACTGCTTCATTGTGAACAACAAATCTGTTGGATTCGGCAAGAGGAGAGCTGACGTCGGTTAATGCTGATGTTGTGCTGTCTGCTGACAGCACAGTCTCTCCCTAACACAGTCCTACTGTAACAGAGATTGTAGATTGTGGTGCGTTCAAGCTCCAAACTGTAAAAATGGAAAAAATATGTATATTGTTTGTCACAGCAACATAAAATAGATTTTAGAGATAAATGATGACCTCTTTAACTTCCTAGCTCTAAGATCACTTGATAGATTTATTTATAGGTTTCCATTGATGTTTCAGACTTGTGAGTTTGACGGGAAATTGAAACATCTCAGCTGGGAAAGTGGCTGAATGTCAAGAACTGAAGTGATGTCTTTCTTTGAGTGGGGTATCATTTAAACTGAAAACATGTTGACATCAGCATAAAAGCTATCAAGGCTTCTCTCTCTTCTGGGATGTTGTGTTTCCTGGTGCCTGTTCTAAGAGGTTAGCTCTATCAGGATGAATGTTTCACAGTAGATTACAAAGGGCACTAAGTGTTCAAATTGTGAACGTGAATGATTCCAGTATGAGCCTCGACAAACCCACATGTTCAGCTGATATGTAAACAGAAAAGACTCACTGTTTGCTCCCGCTGGGAGTCATGAGTCTTAATGGGACCTGCTGTATGCTGCTCTGTTTGGCTGGGTCACATGACTGTCACAAGGTAGCTATTAATCACTCTGACCCATGGCTGGCCAAGTGAGACTGTTAGCAGAAAATATGTTGAGAAGAGAGGCAGGAAGCTCTGCAAAATGCCGGTTAGTATTTCAGGCAAACCACTGCCACAAAAGAGAAGTGGAAGTGACTTTTTGCCCCATCCATAGAAAGATACATGAAATGTGTTCACTTTTTCTCTTGGATTGGTAAAACTTCAGTGACTCTTCGTGGATCATGATACAATCTTTGCCACACAGATCTGATGTCATCTTTTAGACGGTCTGTCTGTTATCTGTGGTTGGGAACTTTCACACAGTGAGCACAAGATGAACAGATGTTGGATTGCTCATGTTCAGATCTGGAGGTGGTGGAAGTGCAGAGACTGACAAATACACCAAATGGTGCAGTTAAAATTATTTTTTTTGTGCAGGTAAAAGCATGTGATGTGTGCAAGTTTTAAAGCAGCATGTACACAGAAAAAGGTGTTTAGAGCCCTGTAATATACAACTGTGTCCTTTTACAAATGACGTCCTGTTTAATCTTCATACATGCTGTGATCACAGGACGACGACATCAGGATCTCTGTGGTTGTTGATTAATCCCACTGTATGCTCACTTCTCCAGAACTACACAGAACAGCAACGTTCTTCTCGCTTTTCCAACAAGTTTCTAAAGTGTCCTGCGTGAGTTCGGGTTCTGACAGCAGTGTGCTTGTGTTTTTGTCCGTCTCTGCTCAGACTGGTCCGTTTCTGGAGCATCGAGGAAAGGGCTCCTCAGGCCGTCGCCTCCCTCTCTAATGGCCTCTGCTGTGCCTTCTCCGCTGAAGGAAGTGTCCTTGCTGCTGGGTGAGACACCAGCACATGTACAGACACAGCATCCTGAGCACTCGGATCATATTACCTCAGTGACACCGTACTGCCTTCAACCAGTTCTCAGTGTTTCTTTGAAGCTCAGCTCCTCGCTGGCGCCATGTGCAGGCTGCATGTGTTCTTAGCTATTTTTAGTTTTGGGGTGGAAATTTCCACTGACCTCACGTTGTTGTTTTTGTTGTAGGACTCGTGATGGTGGTGTGCACTTCTGGGAGTGTCCTCGCAGCGTTGCCAGTCTGCAGCACATTTGTAGGATGACGCTGCGCCGGGTGATGACCAGCCAGCAGGTGGAGGTCCTGGCTATTCCTACGCCGCTCCGTGACTACCTGACCTACAAAGTCATCTAATCCCCCAAACACACACACCACCACAGCACCTGCTGACCCAACTGCACTTGCGGCAGCAGCATCATGCTGGAAAACCAATGAATTATTTTTAGGGGAAAAAAATGATTCATAGATCTCTGCTGAACAAACAAAAGCAATCAGACACGGAGGAACGGTTCTACTGAAACCCCAGAACCTCGTCTCAAACGCCCATCACATCCACTCGCAGCAGGATATTGTGTTTCGTAAATATTTATTTTTGTAAGTACTTTTAAGTAAATGTGTGTTGGGGCCAGCGCACTATCCATCCAGCTCTCCACCAGGTTCAGTAAAGCCTTCATCTTCTCTTCCTACTTGTCAGAAGCTCTGCAGCGGTGCTTGCTCTTAATGTCAGGTTTGTTGTGTGTGGGTGAGCTAAAGGGAAGAGATGCATGGGATGTTGACAGAATGTAGGGTTTGGAAGGCCAATACTCAGATCTGTGAGCTACTGATTGAGGACCAATGCTATCAAGCTAGCTAGCTACTTCACAAGCCAGTGAGACCGACTGATAACTCCAGCAGGCAGATATTTGGTCATTGCAGATGAATTGGTATCCGCTATGTCAGCTGGTAAATGACAGTAATGGAAGTACAGTGATGCCAAAGATATTTTTTGAAACGGTGTCAGCATTTTATAGTTTGTCCACCAGAGAGTAGTGAAGTTTATTTTTCAATTGCAAAATGTCCTGCTACTACAGCTCTTGGTTGCAGTTGTTATAAAACAAATTTAAGGGAACTGATGCATCATTATTGGATTTGGAGTTCTCGAATATCAATATCTGTATTGGCCTCAAACATTCGGTGTCATCACCAGCTATGTGATTGGTTTACCAGAGAAGCACCATAGAGCACTCATCTGGATTATTGTATGGCGTTGTCCTTTAGAAATCGACAGTTTGTGAACGTGCCACTAACGACCAATAGGTTTGTAGTTGGTTGACGCTTCAGATTTGCATGTAAAGGTTCAGCACGGCTTCACATCAGTGCGGTCTACTCATCACAGCATTCCTCTCAATGAATTGAGTTTGGTGCAGTTTTGTCTTTGCTGTAAAGCTACCCTGTGGAGTTCTTGAACACTAGCAGCACTATGGAGCAATGTTTTCTGAGTAGATCACCATTGTGTTCCTTTTGCATGTATGAGCACCCGGCAAGGCCACAGATTCCTGCCAATGGTTCAACATAGCTCCTCTGATTGGTTGGTTGAGGTCGTGCATCATGGCATAGTAGTGGATGTAAACGTCTAAAAACGCCTTTGCAAAGGATTGATGAGAAAGAAATGGATTCCAGATGGATACACGCAAAGGTTGTGGTGAGAAACACTAAAAAGTACTAACTTTGTTACGAGAAAACTCCACAGGGCACCTTTTTAAAACCCTACTAAAATGGCCTCCAACATGTGTTGACAAACTATACTAACTGTGACTGTTTCAGTAAATAGCAAACCAACAGTGGTCCAACCCTGACATGATGCAGGTTTAGTCCACCCACAGCCCCCTAAAATGTCTGAGTGGTGATATAAGTGTGCTGGAGTTTACTTGTCTCTCTTGTCTTAGTGCGTGCCTACCACACCAGTACAGAGCCTCGGGTCCATGCCATGTGTATGTGTATATGTAAAATGATATCATGTCTATAAACAAATTGTAAGTTTTTTTTTTTTTTGTTTGTTTTCCACTTTGTCATCTGTATCCAGTTTTTCTGTTGAACATTTGTATTTTTGTATCAGTCTTTTTGTTCTTGTAAATGTCTACAAATAACTAAAGTTGTTACACTTCTTAACGGGTCCGATTTTAAACTGTGCCCTGTCGCCACTATTTGTAGTAGAAATTACAAAAAGCAATTCCAGCAACCCTGAAAGTAGTCGGAAGCTACTAACCAATCAGCTGCCAGCCTTGGCCATGTGGTGGTAAAGACCTTCATGTCCTCTCTGATGGAAGTCTATGCAGCTGATAATCCACAGTGACCCTCACACTGAGCATTCTGTTTCTTGAATGATGTAAGGTCTGAAGAAGGGAAAGCGTTCAGTATTTTCCTGCTTGTGCGGGTGCAGAACATCAGTCTTGACTGTCAGTGCTAATGCCAAATGTGTTCCTTTTCAGATAGTGTATGAATGCTTATTATTTAGTGCTGAGATATGGAAGGTGTCTCATGAATGGGCTGCAGTGCGTACTTCTCTTGTATTACATGAAGTTGGTATACCTGTTACCATTGTGATTGGAGAAACACAGTTCTGCCTCTGAGATGCAGTATGAAGCGGCAGATATATGAATGTATAAAGTTTATTTTCTTGTATATTTTTGTTTGCGTGTTAATAGTTTCAGTAAAAGCTTTTTGACAAAATGTATATGGTTATTCATTTGAGAGTGAGAGAGAATTTTCTTTTTAAATTATATTCTAAAATTATGTCAAAGATTTCAAGCCCTTGAAAAACTGCTTTCAAGTCTACAATATTTCATTACAACATGAAATATTTTGAATTAATGATCAGCAGTGGCCTGGAAACAAGAGTAAACAACTACACTGTCATCACATTGAACTGAAATATGTCTCAGAAGTACAGTTATGTGACTCAGTCTGACCCAGTTGGATGAGTACAGACAAGCCTGTAGCTGAGTGGTTACATTCTATACACCAGTATGTCACACCCCTCCCTCTCTCTCCATTTACAGTCTCTGTTTCTATCAAATAAAAGCAAAAATGATGACTGGAAAGAAGAGCACAACCAGGTCTGTGATGGGAATCGAGCCGTAGTGGGAAGCTGGTTTTCAGACTGAGATGAAGTCCCACAGGGATGATGGTGGAGAGTGTGAAGCACTGAGGAACCGTACATAGGGAGATGTTGAATATGTTGCAAAATTGTGCAGCACAGGACTGATCCAGCCCGGCTGCTTTCCTGATGTCAGCTTCTTCACAGTCTCAGTTTGTGTTGCAAGCAACAGTTCATTCATTTGACTTTGAGAGTTTGCATGTTGGATAAAATCAGTGCCGGCAGTGGGAGCCAACATGGTCGTCTGCTGAACCTGGAGAGCATCAGCGTCACCGTCTTACTGTGCTCACTGTGCCCCAGTGTCTTTGAAAACAATTTAATACAATCATTGTAGGCTTCATCTCCAATAAGACCCCATTACCACTGCTGATTTACACACCTTAGCATTAACCTGAAGTGGAAAACTAACATTGCTGAAGCTCAACAATGACTGTACTTTGTTAGACAGTTTAAAACGTACCGGACCAAACAGCTTCTTGTTTTGTGAACATATGAAACCAGTCCCCACAGTTTAAACTCAACATCCTCACAGAACCGTTAAGAAGATGATGTCGGACCCTTCACATCCTGCTCACCAGCTCCTTCCCTCAGGGAGGCGCTACAGAGCTCTGTCCACTAAGACTAAATGCTTCACCAACCTCTCCTTTTCCTTACATTCACATAAAGTCGTGACTGCACTCTTATCCACCAGGACTCTGCACTCCTCTCCTCACATTCTGTACCACTGACAGGCATTACCATGATTGTCTGCTGTCATCCATTTAGATATGTGCTGCAGAGAACAACATAGGCCTTGGTCATGTGGCTAATAAACAAATCTGATCCAAAATGGAGAACTAAAACACAGTCTATGTATCAGATTTACAAAGTGCTACCTATGAATTGTTCCTCGGACACATGTATGACCCAGATGACTTCTGGGTTTTGGTATTTTCAGAATAATATATTATAGTGACAGTCAGTCTGTGCATCTTGTCCAGAGTGACTTATAAATATAAGACACCTCTCCCTCTCTTATTCTTGTCGAGTTTCAAAAACGATTTTGTGCATTAATGAATGAAAATAAGAAAAGATAGAAACTGCACATTATAATTTACAATTTAATTATTTTTAAATATAGAAATCATTGTTGCTTTTTCAACCGAAGTTTCACGAAGATGTACAATGTGAAGATGACTGGTGAGGACACAAACATTACAAAAGTACTTTTATCCTTCAGGGATCCTCCTATCAGCGGAATGGAAATCTACCAGCATCTAAAACACACACACAGCGCTCTGTGCTCAGTGTGCGCATGAGCTGCGATCAGGTTTATTATTGACCTGCAGATAAGGGAGGACTCATACTGAAGACAGTATGTATCACACAGCTCAGCTTCTGTCTGTGTAGAGGTCACTTTTCATCCACTGACTCCTCCTCATTAAATATACCAGCTACTAAAACCTGCTAGCACAAAAAGACCAAAAACATAAAACATAAGTTCTTCCTTTTGGTTTCTGTTGCGGAGAACACAGGATGTGGTTTACAGCCAGGATACGCTGTAGCAGACACAAACGCTTCATTTCATTTCAGTTGAGAGTGCAATTAGATATGTATTTGTATTGTTTTCATTTTACATATACACCTACATAAGCCTACATTATAATTAGTAAAGAAAGTAGATATGTTTGATGTAGCTCTGCTACGCTACAGAACCTGTTCAAAGTAGCCATGAGTGAAATAATACAATTTAAATTGTAAACTGTCTTTGTGATCTCTGTATCATCATCATGTGGCTTCATCAGGATCTGAGCCTCAGGGAAAGGGAGACAAACAAAGGAAGGGAGTCATCGCCGTGTTATGGGCTCTCAAGGACAGGAGGGTGGAGCAGGTCGAGAGAAAAGCAAACAAACTGCAGGCTTCATTCTTCATCTACTTTTAATTCCAATTATTTTGTCAAATCTCATCCTTTTAATTATTTTTCTTAAAAACAATTACGAGCCATTGGAGATAGAAGTACAGGGTTGTGTGTGTGTGTGTGGTTCTCCTCACACAAACGGCACTATGAAACATGCGCTGTCAGAGGAAATGCAGGGCGAATAGTTCAGTAGTCCCTCCACACCCCAGACATTCCTTTCTCTTGACAGCTTGTGATGTGTCCCAACAGAAGCTGCTCATGCTACTAGAAGATTCTCAGCTCTGCTGGAGAGATAACAAGATGCTCAAGATTCCTCCAGAATAAATGAGCTGGAAGGTTCCAGAGTAGGAGCAGGTTTACACAGTTCGCATGCTCATGGGAAAGCCAACCTCAGATAAGCTTGATTCTTCTTCCACTTGACACACAAATGATTACCCATCATGCAGCAGAATGTCTTTGTATTAGCGTTTACCTCACTCTCCATAAGGCTCAGTGGTCAGGGACACCAGCCAACACCTTAACAGAGCCCCAGACCAGTTTAAAGATTTGCTCTGACCCCAACAGGCTGCAACGTCCATCAGTGAAAGTGATTGTGTGAGTCGAGAAGGGTTTGGCAATATTTGTGACCTGCTGCAGGCACAGTAGAGGGTGCTGTTTCCGCCCGACGGACTCGCGAACCACAAAAATTGAACCAGGTGTGTTTTTGGGCAGGCAGGGCACCTAAGGGCCCACACACCTCTAGTACTTAATCTAAAAGGCAAATTAAAGAGGGAAGTTCATTACTACAAGCCTGGACCCACAATCTTTAGCTACCTTACACAGAATGGGGATGAAATATACACTTGATGAATAAAAAATTCTACTGAAGGGCATGGACATGAGGATGGGGTCACTCTATCTGATCTTTTAGAAGGATATAAGGCGGTATTTTTAGTTAGAATATCCAGGTGCTATCAGAATAAAGTCCATTCTAACAACCAAAAAGATCAACTTTATTACCATGATCCAAAGTGTCATAAGGGAAGAGTTACCTGCTGTGACTTAATAACAGCTGAACCGACTGTCTGATGGAACAGACTCGTGGGTCAGGAGTACTTCAAAACACTGATCAAATGTGACATTTATTCAATCATACAACTATTCAATAGCATTTTCTGTAAATTGCATCTCCCTGCATTATGGTCTAAATGTTGTTTCTAAGTCATTAGATCATAAATCATTTTTATTTGAATGTCAGGTTAGGGTTTAAAATGTATAAGAATAATTGGTCAATAGGCTCAAAAACTAATTTCCATCCAAATAGGTGACTGTATTAGAATAATGATCTTGCATTATTGACCTAATAATAATGATAATAATAATAATAATAATAATAATGATAATAACAATAATACATATTATTTGTATAGAACCTTTCATTCAAGAAATGCAGCACAAAGTGCTTTACAAAAAAGGGAGATAGACAGACTGAACATGAAAACAACTCAGCAGGTCATTTGAGACGTATTAGACAAACTCTGAAAGTATGATGCGTCTTATGTAAATTCATATTCAGTACCCAGAAGCAAACACAGACCCTCATAACGTCCCGCCGAACACAAATTCCCCACATGTCTGAAAAAAGCTTTTATCAGCCACCTCACAACATCTTCCCTCGGTGTAAGCCACCAACCACTCATAACAATAATGAATGAATAATGAATTAGATCACAAAATTCAATATAGATAAGAAGTGTCTTCCTCTTTTGGCTGTATACAAGTCACAAAGGCTTGTTGTGATCCAATCAGAGCAGCTGTCTCAGACTGAGCTGAAGTGAGCAGGTTTGAACGCTCCACAGAGTTGACCCTTCATCCACTCAATGATCAGACTCAGACGTCCACTGTGTCTTTGTACCACTTCATTTACCAAAGTGCATAGTAGGTGTAATGTAATAACATAAACGTAATGAATATGCTAATGTTAGATTTCTGAGAAAGTATGTACACCATCTAAGACATTAACATAATAACCAACGGTAAGAAATATATTATTATCGAACTAGCTGACTTCATTTCACGATAAAAATCATCAAAATATGAAAGTCAGGTTAATCTTGTGCATAAATACCAAGTCTGTAGAAAATGACTCTCAGGCAAGATTTTACATTCAGTTTTATAATAACAAAGTTGTAGTCTGGTATGAATTAACTACACCATATATGTGTTTACTTGAGCATACTACTTGTATACATATTATATTGATATTGAAATGATGTATACTTAAAAATATAACAGACATGATTAATTGATTCATGATGATGAAGCGTGGTCACTAGTAGACATTTACACTGTAATGAAAAGAAAGATTAAACAGTTCTCTAAATGTTGATTTAAATTCTATGTTAAACAACTGTAGAATTACAGAAAATGCATTTCCATTTTTTTTGCACAAACATGTCAGCACTCAAATGTGTTCAGTGTGCTCTTGAGTGAGCGTAGATTCTGTTGTTACCCAAGAAAAAGACCTCAAATCCGAAAACATTGGTGAACGTCTGAGTCCTCGGGAAAACTGCAGGAGTGGGTTTTAGGAAGAAAAGTCTTGGTCGGTGAGTGAGACTCATGTGATACTTCACTGACCCCCCCTCAGTGAGAGGGTCTGACCCCTGGTATGCTGGCTGACTAACAGGCCTTTATTTCACCTCCTCAGTGACCGACTCTGGCAGCAGATGGCAGTGTGTTCTAACTAATCACTCGTTCCTCTAAAAACAAGGCCTATCACTGTGAAACACTTCTATGTTGTTTAACTAGAAGGTTTACAAAACATACACTGAAAACGTCTAGGCTTGCACTACAAGTGAATTACCCTATGATACAGGACACCACAGAACAGGTCACGCTGTAGCCAGATGCCTTTTCATCTCTCTGTAAAGCACTTTGTCTGAACACAATTCATATATGTTATTCATATGGTCTATGACCAATAACATGAGTGAACAACTCTCTAGCAAATCCAAAATCTAGAGTGCTAAAACTCACATGTGTGATGTCATCAAGTATAAAGTATGGAACGGCTCCATAGACGATGAGCTGGGAAAGATTTCGAGGTGACACTGATGGCACCAGAACTGACGAGACTACAGTCAAATGAAGCCCTTCTGCTGTCCCATGCATTGTCTCTGGAGCAGATCCACACTGTGCACGTGATGACATCACCGGTTGGAGACTTCTTCTCTGTTTGTTTCAGCTCATGTTTTTAAACATTGATGGAACTTCTCTCGGCCATGGGAATAACACACCGGTGTTGTTCGTTTCCGTGGTGTTCCCCTGTAACTTCTACCCTCGATGTTCACTGAAAATGCGGAAACGTGTTTGAAGAGATGCTTTGTTTAAGCGTCAGCGTGCGACACGTCTTCAGGTCGCTGTTCGTGCGACACGCCGCCTGAGAGGAGGAATGGACAGAAGAGACAGCATGGTCCACAGCGGGACGGACGCTCTGCAGCCGTGCCAACTGATCCTGAACCTGGAGGACACCTCCATCTCCAGTCTGCGGGCTCACAGGACCGCGTGCGCTGCATCCAAAGACCCCACACAGCGGGAGATCCGCACTTCGGAGGTAACTTGCGCTAGAGGAAATACGCTGCTCGTGCTCGAGCCTCCAGCGCCTTCTGTGCAGGCCCGCTGCAATGTGTGCAGAGTGGGCCTGCTTCTGGCTTGTTCCAGGGACGGAGAGGTGGGAACAGGTGCTACGCTTTATTCTGTCCCCATCCGACTCTGTGACACGGCCACTGTGTCCTCCCGCGGTCACATTTGAACGATATCTTTATGTTTTGGTCGCTACTAAAACTAGTGATAGAAAAAGTGAGACGTTCCATTCGTTGCTGCGAGTGTTAACACTGTGCACCGTTAAATAGCGTCACACGTTTAGAATGTAGTTCTGTCTAGTTGAAAAGTGGACGTTTGAGGTGACTAGCTGTATTGTTAGCTGCCTAACAAGTGTGTAAAAACCAATAGGCCTGTTTCACATGTTGACCTGTCACAGTAGGACAAGCAGAGGTGTAGCTTAATTCATACAATGCATAATGGCTGGGTTCCATTCCGCTACTTCAGGGTGATGGTGTTATTGTCACACCATCAGGGCTTAGTGGGACACTTGAATAGAGCAGAGCCATTGTTAATGTCATTGGTAGGCCTAATGCATGCTTTTCCTACAATGACATGGTAAAAAGTCTTCTGTGTTGCAGCCATTCAGAGACATATTTTTTGCTCCACCTTAAAACACTCCCCCAAAACAGTATACATACCCAAGTGGCCAGCACGGCCTAAAACGTGCATTAGGCAAACACACACTGAGGACCCTGATTCAAGATTCCTTACTTCACTGCCATATCAACCGCAGGTGATTAGCAGTGAAAACACACTGCCACGAATACAATACAGTAACCATACAATGAATGCAATGGATCAACCAGATCGCTCATGCCCTTCAAGTGACAAGTTAAAGTGCATGTGCGTGACAACCGGTGAAGCACTCGGATGTGGGATGCTTCAGGATAAGTGGTGCTGTGGAAGCTACATCTATAGTCTTATTACTGCGTAGTCTTTCACCTGAAGGTAGAAGATGGAATGACCTGAAAAGACTTTTAAAGTTTGTCAAGAAATTCAAATGTGGAAGAAGACAGTGGGAGAAAAGTGTGTTGCTGTGCTGGGGCTCACGCTGCATATAAACGAGCAGAGGAGGTGTTTACCATCGATGATGGACTAACTGTGCTTCAGAGCTGTGACAGTTCTCTTTTTTACCGTTTCCTGTCCTTTTATTGACCTCTTAAACTGCCCCACCCATAGACACCTCCATAAGGTGGAAACATGTCAGGGCTGTGTTTTTAGCTTATTCAGTCAATTGTTGCACCTTTTAACAAAAGAAGTTAGTTATTTCCAGCTTGTTCCTGTGTTTTGACATCATAGACGATAGTGCATTTTGCAACTTTTCCGGTTTGAATGCTGTCCATACTGCAAGACACAATTTGATTGAACTGAGTCCTAGTGGTATCCAGCAGACAATTTGAAAGCTTTTTAGATGGTATTTTTTAGATTGTTGATTTCCCACGCAATTTGAATGCATCTTTCAAATTGCTGCTACTAGTAAGTATTAGTCACTACAAGTGAGGTCTGGCAGTTGTGTGCTGCAAAGGGTTGGTCTGACAGAGTCCTGCAGTGTTTTGAATAGCACCGGCCATACTGCTCTTTGTGATGAGCACTCACCCAAACGAGAATGTGTTGAGTCAGCTGCTCTGCAAGCCTCTGTCCCTCCCCAGTGTGCTATTTATATACACACCCAAACCAGCCTCTGCACATACCAACACACACAAGAGCATACGCATGTCTGATCTACACACACACACACACACACAGCTCGGCACCTTGTAAACAATAGTGAACACAAACAGTGGAGGCAGGGTTAGAGCTCTGCTTCAGGTTCACTTAGTTTGTTCCTGACACTGTTGAGGAGTAGGCGACAGGTGGGCTCAGAGCAGCAGACAGTTAGCCTGCGTGGGAGCAGCTCGGCTTCTACCAACCTCACAGGATCACATGTAGGACGCTGAGGTAAGACAAAACTCTAAGTCAGCAGTGAATTGAAGTGGTTGTATTTGCATACGTTTGCTCCAAAGAGGGCTTGAAATCTTTAGTCACAGAGAGTGTATTGTCCCTTTGATTGTGTGTGGTCCTTTGTTAAATACACCATATGATGTAATGTAGTTCCCATCTAAATAGTTGGATCTTTTAAAATCAGTTGCTCTCCTCCGTTGTCACCTTGCAAACCTCAGTCTGTCTGCTTGGCGTCTTCTCTGCTGTAATAGCCCGTGTCCACCATAGTGGTATTGTTTAGTTGCACCACTTCATGTGTTGTTTTGCATGAATAGGACACTTCATGCATTACAGGCTTCTGAGTGGCATGCAGATTGTTGTCATTGTCATTTTGGCGTTGACTTGGTACCGAAGTATTTGTTTTCGTGAAATCCAGTTGGCAAATTATATTTAAGTATACATTTTTTTTTTTTACTGTGCTATAATCTTTATTATAATCCTGGATCATTATTATTGATTGATTATGTGAGCAGCATTTTATTGTTGTTAGTGGTGGAGGTGGAACTTGTATCCACACTGGTCATAAAAGAGTCCACGCTTCTTACTGATGTTCACGTTTATTATTGTCCTCTCATGGAACACCGTGAAAACTAGAAGACACAAAATAGCTTCATGTACAAACAACAAAGAAACAAATACTCTGTCTCATCACCTACAACAAGTATAACAGTACTTTAATCAGTTAACTTAATAAGCTTTACCGTGTTCGCCTGGTAGACCAGCAGGAGAATAACATGACGGGAAAGAAAAGGTTCGCTGGTTTCACCCGCCATTTGTCGTCTTTCTGAGTTCCGCTTAACTTCCGGGTTAATGGTCATGTTACAACAACAAAAGCTCGTCTATCATCATCAGTGAAACAAGGGCAAAACGATAATGAGTTTAAGACAAGGTACCCAAAATTACAGTAAACATAACATGTATTATAATTGCAGAAATAAACTAACAATAATACAAATCGCGGAAGTCAACTTCCGGTGTTGTCATGGCAACGTTTATACGCCGATCAGCGTCAGCTACAGAACTCATTTTAAATGTGTTTTATACTGTTGGTTGGTTTAATATATATTAATCTATCATTTATGAAACGATCTTATGGTTTGTATGTGAAATTAGGGCTGGGCAATAATTCAATATGATAATTTATGGTCTTTCAATGGAATCTTTTCGTTATGAAATTATTAGTGCTGGGCACGTTATCGCGTTAACACATTCATTAATTAATGCCGACAATTATTTTAAAGCGTTAACGCAGTTTTTTTTTTATTATTAAGCGGACATTTTTAACACAAGAACCGGCAGCGAGCAGTGAACAGCTGTTTGTGTGGCGTCTCTTCCGTCTCTTCCTGTTTCCTTCACCTACATTCCCCTGGGACCTAAGTCCCTCCATGTACAGCCTCTTATCACCCTCTATGTACCAACGTACATTTATAAGAAATACCACACATATTACGGTAATCAGCGTTGCATATGTGTCTGACCAAAATACCAAAAAAGCAATGATTCATTTTTTTGAGTTTTTAAAGTGTTTTTGTTTGGAATATGTATAATAAGCATATCCTTTAGTTATCGCTACTGAGCATTTAACAAACATGACATAGATAGGTTTGCAGTTTTCAAGGTGTACGTATATTTCAAATTGCATCTCTTACACACATGAAGATAAAGTTGTGAGCACTGAATATCTATTGTCAGAATCATTATAACTGTATTATAACTGCTACTCTGTAAAGGGAATACTGCTGTTAACAAGAACCTTATTAGTTTAAGTGTTTGCAAACCAAATGTTATTGCACTTTTGTTCATATAGCAGTACTTTTAAAAAAAGTGCGCAATACACTACTTTTGAATTCATTATTGAATTTTGCGCATAACAATGGGATTAATCGCAAATAAATCTCGCGATTAAAAATTGTAAACGTTGCCCAGCACTAGAAATGATATATCGATATATCATGTGACACAATAATGTTGTCTATAACAAGCACATACTAACTCAAATTTCTCATAAAAAAATATGATCAAACTTAATCTGATCTGTATTGGTGTGCATGTAAACATTGACAGTTTATAGCTTTTTTTCTGTTAACTTTCTCTGTTAATTTTGCAATTAAGTTCTTAATTACAGGAGAACATACTTATTACTTTCCATTTGTCAAGTACAGTATTTAATTCACTCAGAAGTATACAAGTATAGGCTTTATGTGGTTATTTCTTGAACTACCAGAAAACATGCTATATCAGGATATATCAAAATATGAAATGACTTGTATCGGGATCGAAGTTTTTGGCCATATTGCCAGCCCTATGTAAAATCTGCAAAGTAACCGGTAACTACTATTTCTTTGTCAGATTTAGTGCAATGGAGTATAATGCAAATACCCCAAATAAAGGAGTACTTCAATACAGTTTGTGCTTGTCCCCACCTGTCGATTTGGAGGGACACTGTTATTAGCACACAGTAAGAGGTAGTACGAGAAAGAGAGTGAGGTCTGCATGTCATGTAAAAACCTGACATTTATTGGTTATTTAGTGTATACATAGTTACTAGGCCAAAGTCCAAATTTAAAACTGTATTTTCATTGGCTGAAACAAGTCTGAACTACACTCAATACTGTGCCTGAACGCATCCTGTGTTGCTCACTGCCTGCTGTGTAGTGGGAGTAACGTTCTACCACTGAACTCAACCCAATGCTGTCCCCTTTCTAGCAAAGCTGGTTTGACATATCCACGGTTATAATACAGCCATAAAGGTCCAGTGTGCAGCATTTAGCAGTATATATTGGCAGAAATGGGATATGATATTAATAGGCATGTTTTTGATTAGTGTATAATTTACCTGAAGCTAAGAATCATTGTCTTTGTTCGAATAGAATGTTTAGAATCTACCATAGTTCTCCTACACGCTTGGCAAACGGCAGAAGTTTCCCTTGGTTACAATCTGCAACCTCACCACTAGATGCTGCTAAATGCTTCACACCAGCCCTTTACATTGTGTACTTCGTTTGGTGCTCTCAGATATTGGTACAGTGAAGAGCAGTATAGTTTGTGTGTCGGTGGTGTTGGTTTCTCTGATGGAGCCAGTGAAGTGTGTCCTAGTCAGCCCTCTGTGTCCTGACCAGCAACACAAGTCACTCAGTGAACTGTGAGTCACTCTGCAGGAATGTTTGGTCACTGAGCAAAATCATTTTATAATAGGTGGCACCGGTCGCTGTGGGTTTCTGTTGACCACGTCTGCGTAGACTTTATTTGTCAGTGTCTATAAATGTGTGTGACTGAGTATCAGTTTATATCAATCAAATGAATATATACATGGACCAGTTGCGTTTGTACTGCTTGTGGTGGTACGCAATGATGTCAATCCACACATATTTATGATCCCCTGGAGAGTTTTTTTTTGACCCCATGACTTTTCCTCTAGCACCGCCATAAGGCCAGAGTTTTCCCTTTTACGCAAGACGGAACGAAATGTAATGATCTGACCTCATGAGATCATACTTTTGTTAACCTTCACTTATCCAGGGAGGTTTCTCTGGGAGCAGTCTCAGGAAGGCCTTGTTCACAACCACAGTGTGACCTGTTGGCCACTGAGCCGCTCCACTGGGGGGGCTTGCTCAAGGGCACCTCATTGGTGGTAGTGCTGCTCTGTCACTTTCACCACCAAGATTCGTCCTGTCTCTGACTGGTGACCTTCCAAAGCAGCAAATGGTCACATTTGAGAAGGTGGAACCAGCAAATGTTTGGCATTAAAAATGACTAAACAATTATTTGGTTATTAAAATAGTTGCTGATGAATTATTTGTTGATCGACTAATTGTTCAGTAATTGTGACTTTGCATTCCTTGCATTGAACGGCCACAGCAGAAGGTGGCGTGAGAAGCCGAGGATACACTTGTCTTTTCATTGTGACTTTTGTCATCCGATCATACCAGGACGCATTAACTGACAAGTCAGTACACTCCAAGATCAGATCTCTCCTCGCTTTAGGATCCGATCAGCCAGACCATATTGTGAGGTGGCCTGGCTCACATTGACTTCAGATCTCAGTGAGTGTGGACAGCATGTGGACTCAATCCATTTATCAATCTCCATCAACTTCCTCCCACACAGGAGTTCCTCTGAGGAGAGCTGAGCCCAGCTGAGACCTGCTGTCTCAGTCCTGTTAAGTTACTGATGATGCTGATTGTGCTGCTTCAGAATAAAAGCTTTTAAATGACAAACCAATGGGGCCTTTCAAAATGAAGAATATGAAAATGTGTTTATCTCCAAGTTAGTGGAGCTTTGGTCAGAGCTTTTCTTCAATAAAACCAGATCTACTACTACTGCAGGGAGGAGGAGTAAGCAGCAAACTTAATTTTAAAAAGAAAAATGTAAAGGAAATGAAATGAAACTATCCACCATTTTATAGCTGCTCCTTTGACCACAAAATAAATCTGACCATTATCCGATTAGGCAGGTCACATTAAAGTGTCAAGTGTGGACACAGCTCAGTTCTAATCTGGTGCACCTCATCAGAAACCACAGCGATAGAGATACTGGAGACACAATATCATTTAAATGCGGGGATACCGGCTCATGTCTCTCCCGGATGACTTTTGTACTGTCGCCCTCGGTTGTTCATGTATTAAGTGACAGAAATAGGTCTGCCAAGAACGAAAGAGGAGATGGAAAGACTGGGTGAAACCCTGGCTTCTTTCTCTCCTCTGCTGACCAATCGCGGTGTGAAGTGGGTGTGAATGTTGGACTGTCGGTTTGGGATAGTGACAGAAACAGCCGCCCCACCACACCCCCAAAAGGGATCTTTGAATGGTTTGGTGGGAGGGGGTTCTGACCCATTTCACCATCTGACACGAGGAAGCATCCGGGCCTCCTCAGGCCAACACTGCTTCTGTGGGCCACCAGCACGGAATACGTATTTACCATGTGAACGTTGCATGAACAGTATTTTGTAGCAGCACGTT